TCTACCGAGCCACAAGCATTCACGGGCCACTCGGGATCGATTGAAGACTTGCAGTGGTCGCCTGCCGAAGAGTCCGTATTTGCGTCGTGTTCGTCCGACGGCACGATCCGCGTATGGGACGTGCGAACGAGGAATAAGGCGCAGCTTTCATGGAAGGCGCATAGCACGGATGTCAATGTGATTTCGTGGAACAAGTACGTGTTTCTGCTACTCCCCATTTTGTTATCGTCTTTCCTCCACCCCCTGCACCCTCCCGCTCCGTTACACTATGTCGCCGCTGTAGAGGGAACCTGTTGTTTTGGTAGCCCGTTTTACGGGATGCCAATTCGACTCAGTACCGCACTTTTCGTGTGACAGTGTGCTTATGGCTGTGTTTTGGAGCAATATCAAACCAGGCAATGATCTCCACGTAGTTTGAAAGCCATTGACTTCCTATTACACTATTTTTTCGTTGCACAATCTCTCCTCCTCCCTCCTCTCCCCACGTTGCCGTTCCTCCCCAACACCCACCCCTCACACAGCTCTAACTCATCCCTCTCCTCCCAGATTAACCGACCGCCTCATCGCCTCCGGTTCCGACTCTGGTGAATTCAGCGTCTGGGACTTCCGCACCCTCTCCTCCGCCATCTCCACCAAATCCCCCATCACTCCCGCCGCCTCCTTCAAATGGCACAACGAACCCATCACCTCGATTGAATGGCACCCTGCTGAATCGTCCGTGCTCGCCGTTTCTAGCGCCGACGACCAAGTCACATTGTGGGACTTGGCGCTCGAGCGCGATGCCGAGGAGGAGCCGATGGTGGCGAGTATGAAGGAAGGCGTCAAGGTGGAGGTTCCCCCGCAATTGCTGTTTATTCATCAAGGGCAGGAGAGTGTGAAGGAGGTGCATTGGCATCCGCAGTGTCCTGGGGTGTTGTTGAGTACGGCGTTGAGTGGGTTTAATGTTTTCAAGACCATCAACTCTTGAGACTTTGGTTTTGGTGGATGGTGGGGATGATTTTCCGTATATTTTTTTCTGTCACTCTCGTCTCTGAATACATGAAGACATTTTATGCGAGCCAATTATTTGTTCGTGAGGATAGTAAACACGGAACTGCTAATATTTATGATTACAAAAACGAGTGAACCACCCATCGCAGCAAAAAGAAAGGGTCCTCCTCAAATTTACACCTTCTCCGCCTCACTCGAACCATTCACCCCCGCCAGAAACAATGGAGTCTCCACCTCCACTTTGGCTTCCACATTCGTCACTGGTCCATGGAACCAATTGTGTGCCGAGAAGACAAACGTGAATCCGGCGCCAAACAACACGGCGCCCACCAAAACACAAGCGTAGTTCATGTTGACAGCTGTCACGGGCAAAGTTTCTGGAGACACGCGAAATTTTGGGGGGGGGTTACCGATTAGCAAAAACCGAATACAAAGAATAGAACAAACACGCGAACCTGGCAACACAAACAAAACTGTGATACAGCAAACCCACACCAACGAAATCACATTCACCACCGTGCTCCACTTCCCCAGCGTGAACGGACCTGCGTGAAACAGCTCCGGATTCATGAGCTTGCAAAAAATCGGGATTCCATAAGAAATGTAGAGTCCAATGGTTGCGATGGACGTGATGGCCGTAAAAGCGGCCGAGTTGCCGAGATACGGCAGTGCGAGAATCGAGTAGAGGAATACGGCAAGCCAGGTGGCGTTGAATGGGATCTGGAGCTTGGGGTCAATCTGGTGCCAGAGTCCGGACAGTGGCATCGCGCCGTCTCGCGAAAAGGCGTAAATGACGCGACTGTTGGCCAGGAGGCACGAGTATGCGCAGAGCCAGCAGCATACAATTAACACGATCATGAGGAAGATGGCAACGTTTGTATTGGTCGCGTCGAGAAGGATTTGCGCGAGTGGCAAGCCTGTGACGGTTCCGATGGTAGAGTCGTAGCTCTGCATGGCAAACAGGAGTCCGATAATGAAGAAGAAGCCCGTGAGAGTGGACATGCCGATGGCCATGACGATTCCGATGGGACCGGCAACGTCGGCGCGTTTGGTTTCCTCCGTCATGTGGGCGGAAGCGTCGTAGCCCGTCATTGTGAATTGAGCCTGTTGTCCAAACGCGTTAGTGAGTCATCAAAAAAGTCTTTCATACACATACCATGAGCATGCCGACGAGAACAACCCAAGCATTTGAAGCGATTCCAGTTCCATTTTCATAATCCGTAAACACAAACGAAGCAGTCTGCTTCGTTGGAGCCATTGCCAGCACCACAACGACCAACAAAAACGGCGTAAACACCTGCCACAGCGTGGAAATGAACAGAATATTGGCCATCAACTTGGGGCCAAACGAAGTTGCTATCCCGATTGAAGCCGCTGTGAAAATATGAATGGCAACAATCACACCGGCGGATGGACTGTAGTTCAGCCCAGAGGCGATGGACGCGGTGGCACCAATTTCCAACGCCACACCAAACACGACGCCGGCGCTCACGGCCATTTGGCCCAAGATGTTGAACCAGCCCGTCATCCAGGAGGTGAAGGCCTTGTGCTCTGGACGGGAAAGTCTCGCAGACCAGTAGTAGAGTCCTCCCGAAGTTGGGAATGCCGAGCAGATCTCTGCCAAAGAGAGACCAACCATCATGGTGAAGAAGGCAACAACAACCCATCCCCAGACCATGACAACAGGGCCACCGGTGATTAAACCGTAGCCAAAGAGCGACGTCAGGCCGGAGCAGATGCAAATGGTGGACAGCGACACGCCGTAGTTTGTGAATGAAGAAAGCTCGCGCTTGAGCTCTTGCTTGTAGCCGAGTTGTGCGAGCAACGCTTCATCGGAAGCTTCCGTGTCGGTAGGCGATTGGACAGCGTCAGCCATGGTTTCAAGTTGGTGATTCTGGGGGGCGCCTCGCGAGATCTCTTTTTCAATCGAATTTCAAAGATAAGATGAATGGCAAATGAAATGCATCTGTGATATCCCTCGAAAATTACACACAAACAAGCGGTGGGGGGTGGGTGTGGTATATTCTTTGTCCGGACACCCCATCGTGGACCCCTGGTGACGACCGACAGTCAAAATTCGCATGCACCGAGCAACTTGAATGTATGAGCGCGATTATTAAATCCCTTATTAGATTTGATCAAAGGAGAGAGACAGAGGCGCTGTCTGAAACTCAACGAACATGGGGTTATAGCTCAGTGGTAGAGCGCTTGGTTCGCATCCATGAGGCCGAGGGTTCAATCCCCTCTGACTCCATTTTGCTTTTGATCCCCAGGAAATTCTTGTGGAACGCGTATGCTGCGTTGATGCGGAGAATGGGGAGAGAGGTTTGCACTTTGTCATTCATCAATGAATTATTTAATTTGACAACTAATACTAATCAAAAAGTAGTGGGAAGCGAAACGCGACTTATTCCCTTCCTCTCACAAAGCCGGAGGGCGGAAAGGGCACAGTTGTGATTATTGAGAACACCAGGATTAGGAGTCTGTGATGTCTCAAATTATTCTTTCAATCGGATCACAGAGTCAAAATAATATTCAACGCGTACGTCATGCCTCATCATGATCATGCAGCTGCTTTTAGCCCACACCCAACATCGAGTTTCGTGTGGACATGGGATGGCGCGTTCACAAGCCCGTCACGAAAAAATGACGCAAACTCACCTGACCCTCAACAACGGCACCAGCCACATCCCCAAACTCGCCTACGGCACGGGCACGAAATGGTTCAGACGCACCGACGCCACCACCACGGAACCCAAAGACGCCATCAACCAAGAGCTCGTGGACTCGATCATCACTGCCTTGCGTGTTGGATTCACGCACATTGACACGGCAGAGGTGTACGGCACGGAAGCTGAAGTTGGTGTAGCTTTGGGGTTGTATTTGAAAGAGACGGGCAAAAAGCGCAGTGATGTCTTCGTGACGACCAAGGTAAGCCCCCGGAAGCAACGATCCCGGTGGCGATCGCGAAACACGCGCCAACCCTTATTTTGAATCAACCAGGTCTGGACGCCATTCAAGGATATCAAGCAATCGATGAACGAGTCCTTGAAGCGGTTGGGTCCGTCTGTCGAAGGCTACGTCGATCTTTATCTGATTCACTCCCCATTTTGGGCTTACGACGGTCCCGAATCGAGCATGCCCATGCAGAAAGCTTGGATCCAGATGGAATCACTCGTGACGGAAACGAAGCAGGCGCGCGCGATTGGGGTTTCGAATTGGCGGATTCAGGTTCGGCGAGATTTCGAATCGCCCGCCTCCCTTAATATGTCCTAATGCGACACACAATACAGGACTTTGAAGCCCTCATGGCCACAAACCCCACCATCCCTCCCTCCTTGAACCAAATCGAGTTCCACGCTTACTGCCAAGGCCGCTCTCTCCGCGCTCATCAGGACACGATCCAAGTCGTGACGGCGGCGTACGGCCCACTTCAACCGTTGATCAAGTTTGTCGACAGTGGGAGCGTGCAGAGCGTGTGTGACCGCATTGCCGCGGGCAAGGGTGCCGGGGTGACGGGAAGTCAGGTGTTGTTGGCATGGGGGTGGGCACAGGGGAGTGTGCAGGTGACGACGAGCGCGAAGGAGGAGAGAATGAAGGAGGCTGTTGCGGCGTTGGGGGTTGTGTTGACTCGGGAGGAGGTGGATGAGATTACGCGTTCTGGGGAGGGGTTGAGCAAGAGAAAGTTTTGGGAGGGCAAGGTGTTTGATGATTAGAAAGTTGGGAGAGAAGAAAGCGGAATCTTGAATTTGTTTTGGTATAACCCTCTGCGCACTGAGTTGCAGTAGGCACAGCGCAAATTAAGTTTGGATATCTAAGATGAGGCAGTTTGGATAATCGGAATTCTAACAAAGGGAGGGTTGGCTAACTTTGGCCCAGGTGAGGAAGGGGTGACCATTCGATGAGTGAGCGACGATCGGTAATCATAGTGATTAGTCACGGTTCAACCCTGGGCAGTATCAGAAAAATTCTCAAAACGATCTGCAATCAGGAGATCGCTCACTTTAACTCATTTTTTGTGATTTAACCCGCAACCTTAAGATTAAGAGTCTTACGCTCTACCGATTGAGCTAACCGGGCTGTACGATACTCGATCCACGTAACCGCTAGGTACGCTGTGATGATAGCCACGCGTTTCCCCAAAATTTTGCACCACAAATCGTTGTGATTGGATGAGATTGGAGGGTGTGCCTTCACTTTATAAATTTTTCGTTCATTCATTTTGGATTTACGTCAACTCGAAAAAATGAATTTTTCATTCATTGGACCCGCTCCACCAAAGAGGCTCGGGTCTCCCTACTCATTGAAAAAATGTTTGATGCTGTGGTAATGTTGTCTGTGATGGATTGTTTGCTTTTCCTTTCAAGAGTGCACATATAATTAAGCAGTGACCAACCAGCATGAGAAATAGTTGTCGCAACTTGTGAAACTAACCCAAGATTGAGAAGTAGAGAAACCAAGGCCAAGAGGCATGTTGTTTTTTTGCACAAAGATTGCGAATTGCCCTAGGGCTCTCTGGTTTAAGGGAACCCTCATTGAACTCTGCCTCGTTGTTGTCTTAGAACTCGTTTTTGTCTTGCTGCCACTACATGGGCACAACGTTTTGGGCTCCTCAAGGACTTTCTTGCTAACTGTTGATGAGGGACCAGCAAATGAACAATGAAAGATAGAATAAAATGAGAACTTAGTACCGAGCATAAGAGGTTTTATCCTCTCCTCCTTACTTTCATTTCTTTAAATACTAGAGGAAAGTGTCAGAATCCTTGGATCAGGTGATCATGAAGATCTCTTGGTGCAAGTTTTTTCTGAGTGATGGCTTGAACACTCAGGGGAACGGGGCTGGATCAGTCGTGATTCATTTTTTTTAGACAACTTAATTATTGCAACATCGACAATATTCTAACAGAAAGAAGTATTCGGGGGAAAATGAAATGTTAATTTTGATTACATAAGGAATTACATAAGGAATTTTTCAACCATTTTTCAACGGAGCTCCTTCCCGTCACATTCACATCCAACAAATCCCCAATATTGTTGATGACTGCATCGCGTGTTTGCAACTGACCCCAACTTGAATGAGACTTGAGGGCACTATCTGCACAATGCAAAGCATAATCCTTCATGGTAGTATAGACACTGCAATAAAAGGAACGCGCGGACCATACTGTACCTGGTTGTCAACGGCACTCACACTGGGAGGCGTAGTCATCCTGTCATGGAGCCTGCCTGATTCATCCGGCATCCAGATGATGAGCATGTTGTTGCAGTTAATAATCGCTGCGTTAAAGTTGTCGCCAGCAGAGATGAATGAAAATCTTGGGTGTTTGGACGCGGTACCCAGGCCTTTGGCGTACGTGACAAAAAAGTTTTTGAAATAGTCGGAGGCATGGGCGCTGTTGCGGCATGTTGCCACGCGTTTCCAACCTTTTCAAAGTTCTAATCCCATACGTTAAGGTTCGGCGGACGCCTCAAATGATTTTCATCCGATCTGCAATTTTTCGCATGTCGAGACCGCGTTTCCCACCAATTGCAAAGTTGATCAAAATGAAACTGGTTGTTGAAAAACAGACACAGTTTCGTGTTGCTTGGAATCGTGGGGATTTGCGAGTTCTCCTTCGACATGCATTTGTAATCACTGCGAGCAAAAAAAAACCCTCAAAACAGCCACGTCACTTTGATGGAAAGCACCGGCACCATAGGGGGCGGAAGCCACCACAGCAGTTCGAGTAGTTCGAGCCACCACAGCCATCACAACCACCACCACAACCACCACCGCAACCTCTACGCCCCGCCCGTTGTGGTTGTCGCACCATACTCTGCACAGCCCCTTCCACAGCAGCGGGTCGTTGTGCAGCGAGTCCTTGTTTCGCCTCGAGAGGAGCGTCGACGGCGGCGCGAGGAATCGCTGACGTGTTGGCAGTTTCTTGTTGTGCTTTGCAGCGTGGTCTTTTTCCTTGTGTCAGTGCCTCTGCCCCTCGCTGAAAACGTGTCTGTGCTTCACGGCGACCAGAAAGTTGTTTCAGTGAAAGGCGGGTTTTTCAGCGGGGTCTCCGTGGCGACGCAGCGCTGCGCGGCCTTTGTTTTCGACTCAGAGCCACTGCCCACCCAACGAGTCGACCTGCCACCACGCACCATGCGCGTTGTCCTCGGCGACGCCAACGGCTTCCACGCGATTCGCTACGACTTGTTCCAGGGCTCAGAAGTGTCTCTTGAGTGGGACTTTGACGCCTCGCGCTTTGGCCCGAGTCTCTTGATTCTGAGGACAGAGGAAGCCTACAACCTCTTCAGGCAGGGCGACCTGCAGGATGTGCCGCTGAGCGACAAACTGCATGAGATTTACCATTCCACAAAGGGCGAGTTCGTACTCAAGACACATTCGCGGTCAGAGTACTACTTCATCTTTTACGTGAGTACCCACCCGTATTCCCTCTCCTCCGCATTGCTAACTTACAAGACAGATGGCCGAACAAGGCTCAGCCTCAGGCTCAGCCACATTCCGCGTCTCCCAAAACACAATCAACCTTACAAACCCACCCCCCATCACATCAAGCCTCATTGCCTGCCCAGACTCCCCCACGCGCTGCTACCTCCCCTTCTCCTCCAACGGCGGACACGCCCACCTCGACACAGACTATTACCTCGTCCTCGTACCCCCCGCCTCGAGCGAATACGGCGACCTGTTTTCCATTAGAGTCGCGAAAATGGCGAGACCCATGAAGTATGTGGGTGCTATTGTGAGGACTGCGTTGTTTGTGGTTGTCGTTGGGGGTTTCGTGACGTCTGTTTTGGAGTGGATGCGCAGCATGATTGGGTCGTTGGTTTCTCTGTTGTTTTGTTGCGCTTGCATCAAGGATCCGAGGGAGAGACTTGCCGGGTACCGTTCTTTACGACACGATGATGACGTGGAATCTGGTGATCTCGAATCGGGGAGATTGTCGAATGGTGGAAACCAGGAAGTCGATCCTTTGGTTCCGCGCCCTCCCGTGCGCATGCCGAGTGATGCACCACCTGCATATTCGGTCGTGAATGATGAGGAGGATCTCGGGGAGGACAGTTCGGAATCTGTCGCGAAAGTGCCGTCGAAAGCAAGTTCAGACAAGAAGCAGCATGACACTTCAACTTCGACTCGTGTCATTCCGTTGAATGAATCTGGCGCACCTGCGCTGGGCGCGTCTTCTTCGTCCTCCACGGGTGCGAATTGAATATCATGACTTTCCCAAGTTTTGTTGTAATAAAAAATGGTATATCCGTGAGAGAATACCTAGAGAATACGACACGCGTGGTGCGAGTGTGGAATCTGGGAGGCTAGATTCCGAGTCGGGGAGGCCGGATCCCCGGGGGTTCCTGAATCCAAAATTGTTTCGCCCTTCCTGGCTGGAATCGCGACTGGACTGCTGGTCAGCGCAAATTTAGTGATTGCGTAGATGGGGATGGGTGACGATGAGATTGCCTGTGTGATTTCCACGAGAGTATTCCTTTTTTTTAACAGTTTCTGGTTCTTCAGGGCTTATTTCTTTCCCAATCAGGATGGGCCTATACCAAATTCTCGGTTCGGCCGTTACCCCCGCCATCGCCGGATGCCGTGATTCTGGCGTATTCGCAATCCATTTCGACTGTGTTCTTTGTTGCTATTTCAATTAAAAAAGATACCGGTTTATTGTCATTTTTCTTCCAAACGCAATTTCTCAAACAACGTGACAGTTGGACTCAATGAACAAGCACCCTTCCCATCCGTTGAACCACGGCTCCCACACCCACTTTCCACATCAACGCGATTCGCATCAACCGATGAGCTCGCCGAAAAGTAGTTTGGATGCACCTCGCTGAACCCCTGTTTCTTCAACATGCGCATCTGCCGCCTCGACAAGGGCGGTGGAGTGTCCATTTCGACAGCCGAAAATCGGGCTCCCTTCAAAGAAGAAGGACTCGCTCCCGTTTCGACGCGAATACCACTCCCCCCACAAGGACTTTGATCCACTCCCAGCAACGCCACTCTCGCAGGTTCCAGACTTGGACTCATCCAATCCTTGTCCATTTGAAAAAAGGGCGACGATTCGCAAACGACGCGGGGATGCGATGTGGGTGGGCCAACGAGGGTGCTGTTTCGTGGTTTCGGGGTGAGTGTGGCGGCATTTACTGTGTCTGAAGCGGACGCGTCTTCGGAGTCGAGGCTGAAGGGGGGAGCTAGGCTTGCGATTTCGGAGATGTTGAGGTAACTTCGGCGGAGGATGCTTCGCGGTTGTGGAGACGCGGACGTGAGGGATGGAGAGAGGAATGTGGATGGGCTTTCGAGAGAGTTTGGCACCTGCAGAGAAAGCGTGGAAGTTGCAGCGGATGATAAACTCGATATGGATCGATTGGAATGATTGAAAGTGATTGGAGATCTCTGAATGGAAGATTGGCTGCTGTTGGAAGCTTGCCGGGAGGGAGGTTGAAACCCGTTGAAGACGGCACTTAATTTAGGGCCTGAAGTAGAGAGTTGGGTGCGACTAGGAGATCGAGGAGGTAGTTTGGAAAATTCTGTGGGTTCCGTGTCTGAGTCAAACGCGCCGACAGAGTGGCGGCTGCTCCCGCGGCTGCCACGGCGCTTTTGCCGATCTTTTGACTTTCCAACACTTGTGCTCAGGTTGGAGTTTGGATTCCGGCGTGTTCCATTCTTGCGTGAACTACGCGACGACGATAACTCCGTCTCACTGTCCGATTCAAAATCAGAGTCGTGCCGGTCCCGGCGGCCACTGCGGTTGCGGTCTGGAATCAACACAGCCATGGATTTCTTGGGCGTGGTCAAAGCTACAGGAATGGTCCCGATTCGGTCGGCTTTCGTTTCCTTCCACACCGCGTTTTCGGCCTTGGAGAATGGAAACAATTTTCCGTGAACTGCCCAGATTCGGCAGAGATCGCGTTTCAATTCCTGTGTCATGCGTAAATAGGCGCCTTCCCATTCTGCATGATCCCGCGCGTGGCTGCGGCCTGATAAGAAACTTAGAAATTCGCCGAAATTCGTCGACTTCGAATCCAAAGTCTGACCTTTTGCACCACCAGCCTTCCTCAACCACGTGTCTCGCAATTCGAAAAG